GCTCTGAGCTGTCAGCACAGAGCCCGATGCAGAGCTCGAACCCAGGAGCCATGAGACCATGACCTGAACTAAAGCCGGATGTTGAACCGACTGAGCCACCCAGGCGCCCCCATTTTCTTTTAAATTAAAAATAACCAGACATTCCAAAATGAGAAAAAAAAAAATTAGTGAAAAAGGCATTGTTTCAAATGTTTGCAAACCACTTTAATGTGTGGCTCAACAGAAGATAGTTGTATGTCCTCACATCTGCTTGTGTGCCTAGTGTATTGTGATACTCTACAGGCTGCACTGGGTAGTCATGAGAGAGTGAATGCGAAAAAGGCAGGTGTCTTAATATTATTGTAACCATCTTGACCTCTTGCACCCCTTGAGAGAGTGCTGGGGAACCCCCGCCCCAGGTTCCATGGACTGCACTTTAAGAATCATTCATTAGCTTTGGGTTCTATCGAGCCTTAGAGACAGTATCCTGGGAGCTGAAGGCTTGGGGGGGTGGGGGGCAGGTAGCCCAGTTCAGGAGATGGCTCTGCCTACATTCAGGATGAGCTCAGATACTCTCTGAGCTGTGGTCTCTTCATCTCTAACATGGGGATAGTAATGATGAAAACAGTAAAGGCGCCTCTCCCTGCTAAGGTTATATAGTGAGACCCGGAGGAGATGACTCTCCAACTCACGCCTGGCTCGTAGCATACAATAAACATTTGCTGTTAGAATTTGGGAAACGTCATTTGATTTTATTACCAACACTTTGCATTCATGCAGTTAATTTCTCCAGAGGCTTGCCTGGTGCTGGGCAGTGTTAAGGACGTGGTGTTGACTGAGACATGCCTGGCCCTGCTCTGGGGGGAGGGCGGTGGGGGGTCGCTCCTAGTGGAGGGGGTCACAGAGTTTTCATTTGTGAGGGATTGCCCTTAGCACCCAGTTCTTAAAACTGGGGCAACAGGGCGACGGACTGGCCAGCTTAGCGTGTTTATTTCTCTGCCCCCAGGATGCTTCCGTTCTGTGGCTGGGGAGAAATAGGAGGTGTGCGTATCTGTTTCCTCTCCCTTCCTTCCCAATCTCTCTTTTCGTATTAAAGTGAGTTCCTAGAGGGGCGCCTGGCTGGCTCAGTCGGTAAGAGCATGGGACTCTTGATCTCAGGGTGGTGAGTCCAAGCCCCACGTCGGGCACAGAGCATTCTTAAAAATTTTTTTAACGTTTATTTATTTTTGAGAGAGAGAGAGAGAGAGAGAGAGAGAGAGACAGTGCGTGAGCAGGGGAGGGACAGAGAGAGATAGAGAGGGAGGGAGACAGAATCTGAAGCAGGCTTCAGGCTCCGAGCTGTCAGCACAGAGCCTGACGCGGGGCTTGAACTCACAAACCATGAGATCATGACCCAAGCCAAGCTAAAGTCTGACGCTCCACAGACTAAGCCACCCAGGTGCCACCCGGGCATAGAGCGTTCTTAATACAAACAAACAAACAAGCAAACAAACAAAAAGTTTCTGGATTCCGGGCCCTTTGGGGGTAAGTCCCACCTCTGATCTAACCTCAGTCTCTCATGCTGCAGATCCTGCCTTTTGCTGCATGTCAATCCACAGCGCCCGGTGAAAACTTGGGACGTCCCAGCAGAAGAGGTGCCAGGGACGGCGCGGGGTCCGGGCCGGGCCCCTCCACTGCCCCCCATCCGGGGGCCGCCGCTCCGGGCCGGGTGAGTCAGTCCCCGGCGGCTCCCGCGTCATGCAGGCCGCTCGGCTCCGCGCTATTTCGGGCTCCGGGCGCTATAAATAGAGGCTCGCAGAACCGAGCCGCCCCCCTCCGCTCTGGCCCCCCTGCGTCCCCAGCCCCGTCGCGATCGACTCGCCGGGCCGCCGCGCGTCACCGTGGCTAAGTTTAGAGGCGGGTGGGGACGCCGGCCTGGTCACTGCGCCCCTCGGCCGCGCCCCCGCTTCCAGAGCCTTCGGCTGGCGGCTCTCTGCCCCCCGCCCAGAGTTCCTCCCGCGGAATTAGGGGCCGGGGTCCCCGTGGTCTCCATCCCCACCCCAGTGCCTCCGAGGCGCAGACGAAACTGGAAGTTGGGATGAGGGCAAGTTTTGGGAGTGGAGCAGGGGCCTGAAGTCACCAGGAGGAACTTGAGTTGAGGCTGGAATCTGAACTTGGAACGTTCAAGGAGGACGCGGGATCAGAGCAGGGACAGCTGCAAGATTCGAATTCACAACTCTGAGAGCCCAGAAGATTCGAATCCAAGATCCAAAAGTTCCATAGGGGCATCGAGCAGAAAGAAATCAAACTTGAAAATGATGTAGAACCAAGGGCAACTTTTCCCCCACGTTAACTAATGCAGACAGGCTCAGCGTTACATTGACCGCAGGCGGTGGGGCCTTTGCCGCACTTTTGCGATAAAGAAACGGGTTCAGAAGAAGCGAAGGGGCCGCCTGCCGCTTTCGAGAGGTTTTGCCCCGGGTGGCTTCTGGCGAAGTAGCTCCCAGCGCCCCTACACCCCAAAATCCTCTTGTGGGGAACCATCGCCCCCTGGCGCAAAAGGCACGAGTTGCAAGTTGGTTTGGCAATTCCATTCCCTGGAGGGGGGAAACTAAGTCCCCCTCCTCCTAGAAGCACTCTCTAGCCCTTGGATTCAGGGGCACATTTCCATGGTCCTTCTCTATGTCGCTGGGGCCTCTCAGTTCCTTCATATGTCAAATGACCTAGTGATTCCTAAGGTGAGGATTATCGTGAGGCCTTAGCTCATAGTAAGTGCTCAATTTATTTTGATGGTATTCCAGTTGATGGCACTATTTTTATTATTTACAAACCTCCTCCTCATGTGACGCTGTGACCCCCTGCCGCATCACCTGCCTCACAACACTGTGTTTTAGCTTCTTCATAGCAGGTATGGCTGTTTGGATAAAATAAAATTTAAAAAATGTTTATTTATTTTTGAGAGAGACAGAGACAGAATGCAAGCAGGAGAGGGGCAGAGAGAGAGGGAGACACAGAATCCAAAGGAGGCTCCAGGCTCTGAGCTGTCAGCACAGAACCCCATGCAGGGCTGGAACCCATGAACGAACTGTGAGATTATGACCTGAGCCTAACCTACTGAGCCAGCCAGGCGCCTCTGTGTGCTTTTATTTTTTTTTAAGTTTACTTATTTATTTTGAGAGAGAATGATAGCGAGCAGGGGAGGGGCAGAGAGAGGGAGAGAGAGAATCCCAAGCAGGCTCCGCACTGTCAGCGCACAGCCCGATACGGGGCTTGAACTCACAAACCATGAGATCATGACCTGAGCCAAAATCAAGAGTGGGGCCCTTAACCAACTGAGCCACCCGGACACCCCCGTGTGTATTTCGTTCTCATGGTGTGTGTCCTCCATGAGACCATTAGCTGCACAGGGCAGGGACATGGACTGCTTTGTTCAGAGCTGTGGCCCCAGCGCCTGGCACATAGTAGGTGCTCAATATGTAGTCACTCAAGGAATGCGTGAGCCATCCACGTCAATGCAGTTCTCTGAGGGGCGCCTGGGTGGCTCAGTCGGTTAAGCGTCCGACTTCGGCTCAAGTCATGATCTCACGGTCCGTGAGTTCGAGCCCCGCGTCGGGCTCTGTGCCGACAGCTCGGAGCCTGGAGCCTGCTTCGGATTCTGTGTCTCCCTCTCTCTCTGACCCTCCCCCGTGCATGCTCTGTCTCTCTCTGTCTCAAAAATAAATAAACATTTAAAAAAAATTTTTAAAAAATATAGTTCTCTGTGGTCTTATTGAATCCTCGGCAGTTACAGACGGGGAAACTGAGGCTCTGAGTAGTGCAGTCGCTTGCCGTAGTGTTTGGCCTCAGTTTTCTGTTCATTCACACAGTACAAGGTTTGGGAGCCCCTTCTGGTTGCTGGGGGCTGGGGGGCGGTGGGTGCACTGTGACATAACAACGGCCACAACAGCTCCAGCCCCCCCTGCCCAGGACTTGGTTAGTGGTATTTTATTTATATGATAGACTCAAATGTGGCACCTACTGTGTGTCAAGTACAGTTTGGGGCACTTTGCACATAGGTTGTTTCACCCTGCTAATAAAGCTATTATTGTTATCCCCATCTTATTTAGTTATTTATTTGTTTATTTATTTACTTATTTATATTTGAGAGAGAGGGAGAGCACAAGCAGGAGAGAGGGGTTGGGGGGGGGGAGACAGAGAGAAAGAGAGACAGAGACAGAGACAGAGAGAGAATCCTAAGCAGGGTCCATGCTCAGTGTGGAGCCTGACGAGGGGCTGGATCCCAAGACCCTGGGATCACGACCTGAGCCGAAATCAAGAGTCAGACGCTCTACTGATTGAGCCACCCAGGAGCCCCATATTTATTTTTTAAAGTTTCTTTTATTT